ATACCTTACACATTCTTTTTACAGACATTATAAAGTATAGTGATAGCAGATGTTTCATCCAGACACACTGTATACCACCCACTAACAAAATCATGGCATGATCTAGGGATGTGCTGGGGAGGGCTATGCCCCCCTCCAGGATTTCAGTGTCCCTCTGTATCCTGCCCTGCTTACCCACTGTCCTTAGTCCTGCTAACCCCTGTCCTTTGTCTTGCTGACCCCCTGTCCTCTGTCCTGCTGACCCCCATCCAATGTTCTGCTGACCCCCTGTACACTGCCCTACTGACCCCCTTTCCTCTGTACAGCTGACCCCCTGTCCTCCGTTCTGCTGACCCCCTGTCCTCCATCCTGCTGACCCCTGTACACTTCCCTACTGACTCCTATACACTGCCCCACTGGGCTTGCATCCTCTGCCCCCCTGATATTTTTTCATGCACTCCCACATCAGACAGGCTAGATCCAGCCTTGAACAAAATCCAATACTTATAAAGCCATTGTATTAAAGATCTATAATATTAATCACTTTAATTATTGAAATATAAATTGATCACACATTTTGTCAGTGATATAAGGCAGTCTTTAGTTTGTGACAGTGAGCGAAGAGATGTTCTAATTTTTTTCTTTCCTGATCTGTCTCTGGATCTCGGATTGTGCTCACTATACCTATGTACTCTATGACTATATCACATGCTGAAATGTTAGTCATCTGCTTCATGCATGACTAGTTGTGTCCAAATCACAGATCACTGCCAATGACACATAATAAATAGTTATACATAATGAATCCTCCTTTCTTTCCTGTGTTTATGTTTTTTATTCCCCCTTCCTTTATTTAAAGGATAGCTAAACTCAAGAACAAAAATGTAAAATGTTGCAGCTTACAGTCCTTAGATGTAGAGGCTGCATTAGTTTTATTTTTTTTAAGCCAAGAACATTTTCAACAAATACAGAAAATACCTGTAGATTGTCCCAGAAATGCCATGTTCTTGTCACTTCCTGTGAGCTGCATTGAAAAATATATTCCTTCTCAGCTACCTTCTTCAATCTGCCCTCATGGAATGAAGATGAAGAGATATGTTTGCAGTCCTTATCAGAAGAGCAGCCTATGGGGGCAACTATGGCTCCCTCCAAAGATACAGTGGGAGGACTAAGGTAGCCACCCAGAGACATGCTATTTGCAGGATTACCAAGTGAAAATAAAGCAGAAACAAAAAACTGTAAAAAGGAAATTAATGCAGCCACCACACCAAGGACTAGTAGGCTGCAATATATACATTTTTTTTGTTTGGAGTTTAGATATACTTTAACCCTTTCCCTTCCTCTTTTCCCCTCCTCCAACCACTCACTTCTACGGACATTATGGACTTAAGCTACATTTATTTTGGTGATGATTTTGTCATATACAGTAGCTATTATAGCTAATATAAATCATTTTATATATACAGTATATATAATAGTATTGTAAAAGTGATACATATAGATATATATATATATATATATATATATATATATACACACACACACACACAGTTGTGTTCAAAATAATAGCAGTGTGTTGAAAAAAGTGAATAAAGCTCAAAATCCTTCTAATAGCTTTTATTTCCATACACACAAATGCATTGGGAACACTACACATTCTATTCCAAATCAAAACATGAAGAAAAATATATCAAATTTGTGTTGTTCCTCTAAAAAAAATTGAAGAAAAGTGAATATTAGACTGTTCAAAAAAATAGCAGTGTTTGTATTCTTCTTTACAAACTCAAACATTCACTATATAAACTGAAAAATGTTTGAAGATTTTGCTTTCCTTTGAATCACTTAATGAATATTTGGTTGTATAAGCACTGTTTCTGAGAACTGCTGTACATCTGTGTTGCATGGAGTCAACCAACTTCTGGCCCCTGTGAACAGGTATTCCAGCCCAGGATGATTGGACTACATTCCACAGTTCTTCTCTATTTCTTGGTTTTGCCTCAGAAACTGCATTTTTGATGTCACCCCACAAGTTTTCTATTGGATTAAGATCCAGGGATTGGGCTGGCCACTCCATAACGTCAATCTTGTTGGTCTGGAACCAAGATGTTGCACGTTTACTGGTGTGTTTGGGGTTGTTGTCTTGTTGGAACACCCATTTCAATGGCATTTCCTCTTCAGCATAAGGCAGCATGACCTCTTCAAGTATTCTGATGTATTCAAACTGATCCATGATCCCTGGTATGCGATAAATAGGCCCAACACCGTAGTATGAGAAACATCCCCATATCATGATGCTTGCGCAACCATGCTTCACTGTCTTCACAGTGTACTGTGGCTTGAATTCAGTGTTTGGGGGTCGTCTGACAAACTGTCTCCGCCCACTAGACCCAAAACGAACAATCTTACTTTCATCAGTCCACAAAATGTTGCGCCATTTCTCTTTAGGCCAGTCAATGTGCTCTTTGGCAAATTGTAACCTCTTCAGCACGTCTTTTTTTCAACAGTGGGACTTTGCGGGGGCTTCTTGCAGATAGTTTGGCTTCACATAGGCGTCTTCTAATTGTAACAGTACTCACAGGTAACTTTACACCTTCTTTGATCTTCCTGGAGCTGATTGTTGGCTGAGTCCTTGCCATTTTGGCTATTCTTCTATCCATTCCAATGGTAGTTTTTTCAATTTCTTCCACGTCTTTCAGGCTTTGGTTGCCATTTTAAAGCATTTGCGATCATTTTAGCTGAACAGCCTATGATTTTCTGCACTTTTTTATATGTTTTCCCGTCTCCAGTCAACTTTTTAATCAAAGTACGCTGTTCTTCTGAACAATGTCTTGAACGACCCATTTTCCTCAGAATTTCAGAGAAATGCACTGTAACCAGCATGTACAACATTTGCTGCCTTCCTTCCTTAAATAAGGGCAATAATTGCCACCTGTTTTTCAAAGAATGAATGACCTCACTAATAGAACTCCACACTGCTATTATTTTGAACATGCCCCTTTCAATTAGTGATTCAATTACACAGAATCAGCAGCATGCATGTCATGACTGTTGGGTCTGTTGGATTTCTATTACTCTACTACACCTGCTAGTAAATTATTTGCCATGTAGAAATATCATTTCTACCAAAAACAGTGATTGATCAGGTTAGTGATGTCTGACTGCTATTATTTTGAACACAACTGTGTATATATATATACATGTAGCACACCCTTGGGTGATGCTTGGCTAGATATATAGGTTCAGCTCCCACCTGAATCTGGTGACACCTCTGATTATACCCAGAACACTCCTACACTCTGAGAATATTTTTTATGGGTTTTATTGAAGAAGACAAACCCTGAAAAAGAACCAGCTGATTTAACACAGGTAATGTACATAAAACGCAGATACCACTTTGCATAACACAGTTAGTAAGAAATCACTCTTCACTCGCCAAAGACTCCAAAAACTGACAAGTATCACACTGACTAGGGTGGCACATGAGAGTGACATTGAAACATGAAACAATAACTGTTAATGAAGTTAAGCAGCTTATTGACATTTGTTATAGCAATACGATCTAGAGCAGAAATGTCCTACCTAACCACTGGCCAGTGGGATGAAACTTAAAGTCTCTCAACGTTGGGGCCCTTTAATCAATGGAAGAGTGCTCACTCTCTGCATGGGAGAGTATTTGTAATCCAGGGGTAGCAGGATAGCACAATCTACTTTAAGCAGAATCTTCCAGTGAACATTGCAATAGAAGAAAACAACACTTCAACAAAGTATTTACCATACAGGTGAAATCCTGATATACTGACATTTGCTCAGTATATTTAAAACAGCAAGCTTCTGTGGGGACTTGGAACTAAACACACTCTTCAGCCACAGCACAAGTTTTGAGGAGACAAACCAGTAATATACAGAGACAGAGTTCTCTCATCAATCAGCAACAGGAATAGCTAATTCTGAGCAGCTTGGGCTTTCCAAGATATGTGTCACTCTGAGAATTAGAGAGCAGGCTTTCTCATGACCATTCTCCAGAGATGAACAGCAAATGCAGCAATATCAAAATCCCCTTTCATCACAGAGTACTCACTGTTTCTGGATTGTCCTCTAGATAGCATTAGACAGCAATAGAAATCCTCTCTCTTTCAGCAGCTCCAGACTTTGAGAGACACATGCACTTGAGTGGCTGTAATCCTGAGTGTCAGCAGGACAATCCTTAGTTTGCACACTGTCCTGCAACAATTTTTCTGCTACACACTCCCAGCCCAGTCCATGGGCTCTAGCAGCACAGAGAGTGAGACTCTGTGACTTTACACCAGGAGCCCTTGCTCCATGTGGTCCCCTGAAAATGTCTGCCTCCCCACATGTGCTTCTTCTTACTTTTTTTCCTCTCTCCTTTCCTCCACAGCCAATCATAAGTTCAGCTGCAACAGTGCTGCTATGGGTGGATCCTTCTCAGCTGTAGCAACCACCAATCAGAGCATAGTCCTGCTTTTCCTGTCTGTCACTCACAACGAGAGAAAAGGTAAAAAAAAGGCTTTGCAACTGCTGTTTAAGATTTAAAGCAATCAGCACATCTCTACATACAGTATCTCACGGAAGTGAGTACACCCCTCACATTTTTGTAAATATTATATTCTATCTTTTCATGTGACAACACTGAAGAAATGACACTTTGCTACAATGTGACGTAATGAGTGTACAGCTTGTATAACAGTGTAAATTTGCTATCCCCTCAAAATAACTCAACACACAGCCATTAATGTCTAAACCGCTGGCAACAAAAGTGAGTCCACCCCTAAGTAAAAATGTCCAAATTGGGCCCAAGTAGCCATTTACCCTACCCGATGGCATGTGACTCGTTAGTGTTACAAGGTCTCAGATGTGAATGGGGAGCAGGTGTGCTACATTTGGTGTTATTGCTCCCACTCATATAGGTCACTGGAAGTTCGACATGGCACCTCATGGCAAAGAACTCTCTGAGGATCTGAAAAAAAAAATTTGCCGCTCTACATAAAGATGGCCTAGGCTATAAGAAGATTGCCAAGACCCTGAAACTGAGCTGCAGCACGGTGGCCAAGAACATACAGCGGTTTAACAGGACAGGTTTCACTCAGAACAGGCCTCGCCATGGTCGACCAAGGAAGATGAGTGCACGTGCTCAGCGTCATATCCAGAGGTTGTCTTTGGGAAATAGAGATATGAGTGCTGCCAGCATTGCTGCAGAGGTTTAAGGGGTGTGGGGTCATCTTGTCAGTGCTCAGACCATAAGCCGCACACCGCATCAAATTGGTCTGCATGGCTGTTGTCCCAGAAGTAAATGTCTTCTACGTGATGCACAAGAAAGCCCGCAAACAGATGACAAGCAGACTAAGGACATGGATCAATGGAACCATGTCCTATGGTCTGATGAGACCAAGATCAACTGATTTGGATCAGATGGTGTCAAGCGTGTGTGGCGGCAACCAGGTGAGGAGTACAAAGACAAGTGTGTCTTGCCTACAGTCAAGCATGGTGGTGGGAGTGTCATGGTCTGGGGCTGCATGAGTGCTGCCAGCACTGGGGAGCTACAGTTCATTGAGGGAACCGCGAATGCCAACATATACTGTGACATACTGAAGCAGAGCATGATCCTTCCCTACTGAGACTGGGCTGCAGGGTAGTATTCCAAAATGATTATGACCCCAAACACACCTCCAAGATGACCACTGCCTTGCTAAAGAAGCTGAGGGTAAAGGTGATGGACTGGTCAAGCATGTCTCCAGACCTAAACCCTATTGAGCATCTGTGGGGCATCCTCAAAGGGAAGGTGGAGGAGCGCAAGGTCTCTAACATCCACCAGCTCCGTGATGTCATCACGGAGGAGTGGATTATTTTAAAGGGGGGTGATTCTTTTCTATACCCAATATGTACCTGCAACTATTATAGATTATGCATACAAACCAGTGGTAACCTGTGAAGCTCTGGTGAACTCCATGCCCAAGAGGGTTAAGGCAGTGCTGGAAAATAATGGTGGCCACACAAAATATTGACACTTTGGGCCCAATTTGGACATTTTCGCTTAGGGGTGGACTCACTTTTGTTGCCAGCGGTTTAGACATTAATGGCTGTGTGTTGAGTTATTTTGAAGGGACAGTAAATTTACACTGTTATACAAGCTATACACTCACTACGTCACATTGTAGCAAAGTGTAATTTCTTCAGTGTTGTCACATGAAAAGATAGAATAACATATATGAAATATTTACAAAAATGTGAGGTGTGTACTCACTTTTGTGAGATACTGTATATATATATATATATATGAATATATATATATATATATATACTGTATATTAAAATTACAAAACTGGGGATTGGGGTATACTTATTTAAATGTCCATCACATAAAAATAGTCCCAATACTGTATTTTCCTACATATTGAGCCTGAAAGGCTCTGTTTGCATGCATAATCTATGAATGATAGTTGCAAGTGCTGTTGAACCTTATTTAAATATATATATATATATATATATATATATATATACATACATATACAGTTGGTATAGAAAATAATCACCCGCCCCCTTTAAAAAAAAAAATCACATCTTGTTGCTGATGAAGACAGACACAGTTTTTGTTTTTTTCCAGCTGTATTTACGCAGTGCAACTTATAACATCCAAGTGAAAGATGTAACACCAACATGTCAGAGAAAAAAATTTCAAAAATCAAAAACAGAGTCACTGAGTTGGAAAAATGATCACCCCCTCAATGGCACACAAACCAATTGACTTGATCAACTGTGATCAGCTGTGGTCATTTTGCTTAGCTTAGCATGAAAATAGCATTCCTGGAACATTTCTGTTTCCAGTAGTGCAACTGAAGCAAACAATCAACTATAGGTAGCAAGGCACTGTTAAAAGATCTCCGGAACAAGACAGGAGATGGATACAAAAAAAAATTTCAAAGGATTATTAATGCCTAGAAGCTCAGCAAAGTCTATTTTTAAGAGATGGAAGGTATTTAGTACATCAGAGACCCTCGCTGGATTAGGACGTCACTCCAAACTGGATGAAAGGGCCAGGAGAAAACTGGTCAGAGGGTCTACCAAGAGACCTACAGCAACTCTGAAGCAGTTGCAGAAGTCGATGACAAAGAGTGTTCATTGTGTGCATGTGACAACGATATCACAAATTCTCCACAAATGTGGCTTGTATGGGAGGGGTGCAAGAAAAAAGCCGCTCCTCAGGCAAGGCCACATGCAGTCAAGACTGAGCTTTGCAAGGTGCACCTGGAAGATTCTGAGGCCACATGGAAAAAGGTGTTATGGTCAGATTAGACTAAAATTGAATGATCTGGCCTCAACACTAAACAATATGTCTGATGGAAATCTACTACAGCTCACCATCCAAATAACACCATTCCTACAGTAAAGCATGGAGGTGGTAATATCCTGTTATGGGGGTGAGTATCCTTGCATGACCTAGTCGGAGCCCAGACTTAAACCCCATTGAAAATCTGTAGAATGGCTTGAAGACTGCAGTCCACAAATGGTCACCAACAAATTTAACTGAACTTGAGCAGTTCTGCAATATTGCAAAGTCTAGATGTGCAAAGATACATATCCCAACTGACTAAAGGCCGGAATTAAACCAAAAGGTGATTTAAAAAAATACTGACACAAGAGGGTGATCCTTTTTCCAATTCAATGATTCTGTTTTTGAATTTTTTTTATTTTTTCCTGACATATTGGTGTTATATCTTTCACACGGATGTTATTATACATTGCACCAAGTACAGCTGGATAAAACAAAAACTGTGTCTGTCTTCATTTCAGGGTACACAGCAACAAAATATGATTATTTTAAAGGGGGATTTTTGCTATAGCCAATATATATATATATATATATATATATATATATATAATATAAATAATATTATATGCATATCATATATATTAAATATTATAATGTCTCCTAGATTCTAAGCTCGAAAGAGCAGGGCCCTCGAACCCCTCGTGGATTGTTTTGTTACTGTATTGTCTCATGTTCTGTCCCCCGCTAAAATGTACAGCGCTGAGCAAACCTTTTGGCACTATATAAATACTGTATAATAATAATGTACACTATATTGCCAAAAGTATTGGGACACCCCTCCAAATCATTGGATTCAGGTGTTCCAATCACCTCCATGGTCACAGGTGTATAAAATCAAGCACCTAGGCATGCAGACTGCTTCTACAAACATTTGTGAAGGAATGGGTCGCACTCAGGAGCTCAGTGACTCCAAGCGTGGTACTGTGATAGGTTACCACCTCTGCAATAAGTCCCTCCATGAAATTTCCTTGCTACTAAATATTCCACGGTCAACTGTTAGTGGTATTATAACCAAGTGGAAGCAACTGGGAACAACAGCAACTCAGCCACGAAGTGGTAGGCCACGGACAATGACAGAGCGGGGGTCTGTGCATGATGAAGCGCTCAGTGCGCAGAAGTTGCCAACTGTATGCAGAGTCGATAACTAAAGACCTCCAAACTTCATGTGGCCTTCAGATTAGCACAACAACAGTGTGTAGAGAGCTTCTTGGAATGGGTTTTCATGGCTGAGCAGCTGCGCCCAAGCCTTACATCACCAAGTGCAATGCAAAGCGTCAGATGCAGTAGTGTAAAGCACGCCACCACTGGACTCTAGAGCAGTGGAGACGTGTTCTCTGGAGTGACCAATCACACTTCTCTGTCTGGTAATCTGATGGATATGTCTGGGTTGGTAGTTGCCAGGAGAATGGTACTTTGCTGACTGCATTGTGCCAAGTGTAAAGTTTGTGTTTTTGTTTGTTTTTGAATGTTTTTTTTTTTCCTAAGATGTTGATGTTATATCTTTCACTTGGATGATATAAGTTGCATTGAGTAAATACAGCTGGATAAAACAAAAACTGTGTCTGTCTTCATTTCAGGGTGCAAAGCAACAAAAATGTGATATTTTTTTTAAAGGGATACATATATATATATATATTGTAAGCTCCAAGGAGCAGGGCCCTCCTGACCTTCTTGTATTGAACTGTATTGTTGCTGTATTGTCTCCATTTATATTGGAAAGCGCTGAGCAAACTGTTGGCGCTATATATAATATATGCAACCAGGTGAGGCCCCAATAAAAAGAACAAAATGAATAAAATACAAGGTGGTTACAGCGCAGCGAGCATAAAGCGTTGCCAAATCATAAAAGATTACAGCAACTGTTATTATGTAGTATTGTAGCTATTGATGTATCATTTCATGCAGCAATAGGTTATGCTCACTGCTGTAGCGCTCTCTCTCCCCCCCCCTCCTCTCTCTCTCCCCCCCTCTCTCTCTCTCTCTCCTCTCTCTCTCTCTCTCTCTCTTCATCTCTCTCCCCCTCGCCTCTCCTCTCTCTCTCCCCTCCCCCCCTCCCTCCCCCCCCCCTCTCTCTCTCTCTCTCTCCCTCCCTCTCTCTCTCTCTCTCCCTCCCCCTGTCTCTCCCTCTCCTCTCTCTCTTTCCCCCTCTTCACTCTCTCTCCCTCCCTCTCGTCTCTCTCTCTCTCCTCCTCTCTCTTATCTCTCTCTTCTCTCTCCCTCTCTTATCTCTCTCTTTCTTCCCTCCCCTCTCTCTCTCATGAATATATTATATATATGTATATAATAAAATATTCCATACATACACCAATACTATATATATATTATATGTATATACATGCTAGATAGATTTGTATTCATATTATAATATATATGTGCTCATGTTATATTCCTAGTAAAGTACATGACATGTGTAATAAATGCATGTATATATGTGTATATATATAACAGATGTATATATATAATAGATGTATGAATAGATATTTTGTTGTTTGTTGTTTCCTGTCAATGACAATAATAATAATAATAATAATAATAAACCGTCCAGAGTGCCCCCCCTCGCCCCCCGTCCTGCAGTCCCCGAGGTTGTCCTGTAGAGGGCGGCTGACGGTCCCAGCAGAGTGCGGCGCTCGGGCTCCGCTCGCCCACCAGTAGAGCCCCATCCTCCGGAGTATGAGGGGATCGGAGCGGACGGAGCGTGCTTGTCGGATCCGGTAGGAGTGCGGGACATCCCGGTGTGAGGGGTGGCGGAGGAGGTCCCGCTGCCATAGAGGGGAGCCCCCCGCGGCAGGCAGAGTGCGGGCTGACAGCTGGAGGGGAGGAGGGAGGAGATCAGCCCGGACACCGAGGACTCCGCCAGAGCCGGCCGATCCGCCGCCTGCACGGTAAGTTGGCAGCAGAGCGTGCAATCTATGGTCGGGGAGGGCGGTGCTGTGGCCGGGACCGGGGTGGGTATGATCCTGGAGCCGGGAAAGTTTCCTGTGCCGCCCGCCGGGCTCGGGGATCGCTCTTCTCTCTGGTCGCCTCTCTGTAACTGTTTGTTGTAACTTTGTGCCCGATCTGATCGGTGGGGACATCCATGTGATCTGTGCATGAATGGCAGCT